CTCTGCAATTCTTTTTTTTTTCTTTTTTTTAAAACTTCCATTAAGCTAAATTCTTATCAGATCATTGTTGCCTTTTAGAGAGTAATCTGTTCTCATCTATTTTGTTTATTAGTGGTCTGAAAAAGATCAGGTCACTTTATGAATTGTGAATGATCTGATAAGGTTTTGCTTACCTGCACATCAGAGTTTGACTCTGATAATTGACAGAACTCTATACTGGGTATTGCTGACTTTTAATTTTTTTTTTTTTTTTTAAGTCAGTACATACCTTGGTAAATTGTCATGGTATTACTGGACCTCTGTGGTTTATTGTTAAATCAGTGTCCTATGATACTGTCCCATTGTTGCGCTTGATGTTCCTGATACAGGTAAGGAAATAGTTTGTCATTTCTGCTATGAATACATAGAGAGAGTTCAGTATTGTCTCTGTTAGATTTGTTTTTATTACATTGACAGCATTCAACCAGCGTTCCCCATTGTGTAAATAAATTTGCTGAATAAAGTGAAAGTCTTAAATTCATATGTTTAAGTAAATTTTTTTAGTACACTTCTATAAACAGCTATAAGAATGACAATGCACATTATTAAATTCAAAATTATAGTGGTATTTTTTTAAGTTTGCTTTAAACTATTGTGGCTGCTCCTACCTATAATGCAAAATTACACACAGTTAAAAATCCCCGCAGTTGTGAATGTTTTTGATGGCTGTTGCTTTTTTCATGAGTGTCAGATTTTATTCTGACAGAAACCTATTTCAGCTCTAGTATCGTGTTTAAACAGCTGTTTGGCTTACTGTACCCAGACAATACTTGGATAGCTACTCCCCTTCAGTTTACCCCATCATGTAGTATGTTGTGTAAGTTAAGATCTTTACCATATAATGAATTTACAGATCCAAAAGGCTTAAAAAAAAAAAAAAAAAGGTTTCCCCAAAGGACTGGATGGGCTAGCACACTTGAACTCAAAAGCAGAAAGTGAGATTCTGTTAAAATGCATTGTTTTAGCCAGAAAGCAACTGTTATTCGTATATGAGATCTTTGAATGTTATTCATTTATATATACAGTTTTTATTTTGGAAAAAAAAAAAGAAACTACAGATTAAAAGCTTTATATAAAAAAAATCCCCTTTTTGTATATAACTCTACTACCAAAATCTGGATTGTTATAGCTTGTCCAGTTCTAAAACTGTCTTTTCCCTGTCAGTGTGCGACATCTGTAGTGAACATAAAGTGAAAGAGATCAGTAGTTACCTGAGTATTTGAATGTTTACTGGACAAAGTTGGAAATAAGTTCTTATACACCCAACAGATGTTTCTGTAGATTTGGCAAATGAAATGTGGGAGCAAGTGGAATGAATGTATCACCAAAAGCAGTGTTGAGCGTGCTTTGTATGGAACTTGGGACTGGGGACAGATTGGTACGTGTTGATTTGTCCAGTATGTCAAGATCAATGTGAAGACAGCAAAATACCTACACTATCACTGTACTTAAATTTGTCTTTATATATTGTATTACAAAAGAGGGTTGCTTAATGCATAAAAACAAGCTGAAACCAAATCGTGTACGTGACCTGTTGGCAGGAGCAGGCTGTATTAAAAGTTCAACTGATACCTGTATTTCTTAAATGGAAAACGTCCCCTGTTCCCTTATGAGAAACAAGCTATTAAAAATCAATACTGAAACAGACCTATGCATTTTTGTTTACTCTCCTCTTCCCAAGGCAAGAAGCCTTGTTCTGAACGCAGCTGTGTTATTAGGCACTTGGCTCTTCCTTGCTAGTTTACTGTTAAATAATAGCATTGGTTCTCTACGTGTATAAGTTTCTGACTTACTTAAGTTTACAGTTAGAGCGGTTTTATTTCCTTCCTAATTACGCTGTTAGTGTGCACAAAATGTCAAATCACATCTCCTTTTAATATCTCCTGCTTTCCTACTTGTGTTTTCTTGTTCCTGCCATCAGAAGAAGGCTACGTATTTTGTTCTTTGGGGCAAAAATTAATTTTGCAAAACCACCATATCTTTATTGGCTCTGCTAGGTATAGTTTCACAGACCCTTCACATTGGATTCTGGGATTTTCTTTTAAAATTACCACAAAACTTAAGGCATACTGTTGGTTTATAGAATAGGCAAAATTGGGGAAGAGGAAAGAATGGACGTAAGGTGGGAAAATGAAATGTGTCAAATATTGCATCTGTCTGCGATGCGGCTCGGTCTGCAGGTGTCAGGGATGGCAAAATGCGGAGTGACATTTAGGCAGTGGCTGAACAGTATTAGTGCGTGTTTCTGAGGGTATCRATGCACATGGAGAACGTGCTGAAATTTCTTTTGTCAGTGTTAGGTGGTTATTTTGAGTTTTCAGCTTCAATTTTGGATAGAGAGTATTTGAGTTTTTGGGAGTTGGGGGGAGTTGCTTGGTTGGTTGATTTTGGGTGGGAATCATGGAGAGGGAGTAAGTTGCTGCCTCCATCACCGCCTGCCTTGAGCAGTATTCATTTATATACCTGATAACCAAKGGGAATCTCAGCCTCTCCTATCCCTGCTCATAACCGCCTTAAAGAATTAACGCAACAGCGAGCAACACGCTTGCCTGGCAGCTGCAAGAAGACATTGCAGGCAGCATCCTAGCAGTGTGCCGAGTTTTGTAACTGAACGAAGCTACTTGGGAGGTTTGTTACACCACCCTTTGCACTTAACCTGGTCTGTTACCATTACCACTCTACAGGCACCAGCGCGCAGCTGGCTGCCGCAGCCCCCGCTGATCTGGGAGTAGGAAGCCCCTCTTTCTGACACGTGAGTGGGTCCTTGTAAAGCTGCGCAGGTGCTTCTGTGTCGCTCCTCGTCTACATCCTAAAGAGAGAGGCCCGCAGGTCTTGCTGTTCGCACACTGTGGCATCCAGTAGCAGGTTCCTCGCCAGGACATCTCTGSGGAGTATTTGGGACTGTGCTGTGGCTTGGTGGAAGGACGAGGCCCTGGGGCCTTGGTGAGAACTCTGATGAAATTCAAATAAATGCTCTTAATTTTATGCTGCATGGATGCAGAAAGAAAATGTGAAGTCATGGGTTGTGCTTAGGTACTTTCCACGGAACACAAAAAAAAAAAAAAAAGGAGGTGGAAGCATCTGTCTGGGTTCAGCTGCAGACCGGGAGCCTGGTCTAGCTGGAATCGAGTCACAGCTTCTTCATGCACCTGTTTTAAACGCGCGCCTGGTGGTGCCTGCACCACCAAACACTTGTTCTCAGCCTTGTCCCCTGCTCCTGCCTCCACGTTTTGTGCCGTGATCCGAAATCGCGAACTTGCCTGGGAGCCATCGGAGGAGCGCGGAGCCTCCGCTGACATCCCGATGGTCGCCTGCGCTCCCTGACTGCGCCGGTGCGCGTGGCCAGAGGCTGCGCAGGAGCAGCGGCCGCGCCGTGAGGAGACCGGGAGCCCTTCGGAATGCCCGTCCTGTTACACCTATTCCCTGGCCTTACTCCCCCGGCGCCYATCTCGCCCCGCAGACCACAATAAATCAGCAAATAAAATCTTTTTGCTGGGTGCCACTGAGCAACCCGTTTAAAACAAAGTCAAAGGAATGACTGCAAGAATAGTTAGAAATACAGTAATTTTTAGAGGGGATTTTTTTACACAGTTGCTTGAAATTACGAGGAGCCTAGCTCAATTTTCTTAAAAAAAAAAAAAAAAAAAAAAAAAGCTGGTTAACCAAATTTTCTGCTGAAAAACGGGCATGAGGAAGACAAGTCAGCATAAGCATAGTGTGTTTGTGTATAAATACAAAGATTTGCCCAACCATAAATACAGAAAAAATGCATTGTTACAGTGCGAGTGACACCACTGTAGGAGTTGTTTCAAGTATCCAGCACACTTGGCCTTTTGTGTAAACAATAAATGATCCGCTTAAATCGGTAAGTATCAATTGTCCGATGATTTGTCTTTACTAAATTTGGCAGAAATTGCGTCTATCACATCGTACCTTTTCCATTTCCAACCTGGCACTTCTTCAAGCAATGGCAAACACAGGTGGGTTTTTCCATTAAACAGAAATAACTCTTTATGCTATTCTGTATTCTCCTTATTCCCAGTGTTTAGCCTGATGTCCAAAAGAGGCTTGCAGAGGTTGAGCACAGTCCTGACCACATGCGAATATGTGGGCCTTTTATCCCAGGTTTCATAGGAACAATATCGATGTAGTTAATAGGTTGCTGTCAGAAGGAAGACAGGCCGGTTATTCCAGGATACATTCTTTTTTGTTATTATTGTTATTTATTTATTTAATTTGATTTAATGTGCTGTGCGGCAGGGCAGAGGTGGAGAAATAAAGGCCTAAGAAGTGCAAATCGCAGACTCCCGCTTATTTTTTTTTCCGTTTCCCCTGAAGTTAAGGACGCCCGAGAGCTCTCACCTGCTTCACGGCACCGCTCTCCGTCTGTCCGTCCRTCCRTCCGTCCGTCCSTCCCTCCCTCCCTCCTGGCCCGTGGGCAGCTCGTGCTGCGGGGGGACCCCGCGCCGGTTCCGCGCGCACCGCAGCGCCAAGAGCCGCGGCCGCCGCTTCTGCCCCCTCGCTGACGCGGGAGTTTTGCCTTGGTCCCTCTCACCCCCGTCCCGGGCCGCCCCTCTCCTCCCCCCCGGCCCCTCTCGCGTTTCCCGCTTTGCTCGGGGGCGGTTTCGGCCGCTCCTCGGGACGGAGCCCGCGGAGCTGGAGGCCGAAAGGGGCCGCCCGCCCCGCGCCTCCCGCCGCGCTGGTTCCGCCGCCTCGGCCCTTGTGGCTCCGGTTATCTCGGCGAGAAATAAACACATAAACAAGCAACCAGGCAAACCAATAAATAAAAACAAAGTTCCCGCTATTCTGTGTGCTCTGCCTGAGAAGTGATTCTATTAAGGCTTTTATTTTTTTTTTTAAACCTACACCAGTAGGACGCTGAAGAGCAAATGGAAACGGCTGTATTTACGTAAAATGATTAGCCGTCGGACAATAGCAACGAAGTGATATATTTAGCTGGAGGAGGATATTTTCAGACAATGCCCAGGGCTCTTCGTTTCCTCCGGTTTACTTGGCGCGAGGATATGGGGAGCCAGAGGTCACCGTTTGCTCACAGCTTCGGCAGGGAACCGCTCGTAACCTTTTGGTGCAAAACAAACACAAGAAGCGGCGTTACAAAACTCAGGTAAACCCATTTTACACGTCCCTGTGGCTGGAATCACTTATCAGGCTGAGTGTTTGCACTGCCTCTCGGCTGGCTACACCGCACACGTTTGTTTGGAAGTTTAATAATTAAGGGTTTTCCTGCCCTCCCTGGCGAAGGGACCTTTTGAAGCCCCTCCATGTGCATAGATACCCCACGTCCGCCCCCCGCCTGAGCGCTAGCTTCCCAAAGTGTTGGGAATCGGCTCCTTTTCCCCCAAATTGCGTCGCCGGATGTGCAATTCCCCCCTCCCTGCGAAATTAAATTTAATTAGGCAGTTTACCTCAAAACGTATTCGACGTTTGGCGTGAAAAGCAAACTGCCTCCCTCGCTTCCTGGAGAGGGAGATTTCATCGGAGACGCCGCCGGCGCGATCAGCACGAGATCCGTGGGGTGCCGAGCGCCTTTCCCTGGGGCTGCTCTTCCCTCTGCCCGGCCGCAGAGCTGCGGGAAACGCCACCCACTTCCAAACTCTCCAGGGAAATGCAGTGCGGGGCCAGTCGTCGTTTTCCTTCTCAGCGCTCCTTTACGTTTGTCTAAAAGCCGCAAGAGCAGCCGCGCTAACCCGAGTTTTAAATACACGGCAGCGTTTCTTCGCGAATAAAATGATACAAACTTGGCTCTTTATTATTTTATTTATTTTTAGCATGTGCTTCGCTCATTTTAACTAAAAGGCGGGGAAACGGCAGAGAGCGCGCCGCACAGTTTTCCAATGATTTAACTTTTAATCCTTTCTACAGATACTACAGATACTTTTTTTTTTCTTTTTTTTTTTTTTTTTGGCAGAAGTCTCTCGTGGAAGGAATCCACCACCCGCTTCGCGCTCCGACATCGCACGGATAGTCCCGACCCTCGCTGCGCATCTCGGCGCGGACCCTTCTCCTGCGCTGCTCCTTTGCAGCCCCGCGGCACCGTCTCGGGGGGTGGGGGAGAGGACACAAGGTGTTAATATTTTATTAGCATTTTATCTGTTTATGTTCAATGTGGTATTTCCAGGGAGAACCGCGCTGGGGAGGCCTGTGAGGGGGGGGGAAGCGAGATCCCGGGGGGGGGGGGGGGGGGGGGGCGCCTTTCCCTCCCCTCCCCCCGCCGCGCGCGGCCGCCAGTGGGCGCTGCGAGCCCGTGGAAGCGGCGCGGAGCTGCGCGCGGCGCCGCGGGGCCGCCCCCGGGCTCCCCCGCGCCCCCCCGGCGCAAAACCCGCATGGGAAAATTAACCCCCCCACACAGACCCCCACGTTGGGGGGCAGGGAGGAAAGCGGCGCTCGGGGACGGGCAGGGGCTCCCCCCCCGACGCGGGGGCCCCCAACCCTCGGCCGCGCGCAGGGTCCTGGCCGCGCCTTGGGGCGCCCCTGCGCGCCCCGCTCCTGCTGGCGCGAGGGAAGCGCCGGGAGCTCYGCGTGGGGGCCCCGTGACTCGCGGCGGCGCCGCGCGGGAAAGTTGCGCGGGGGAGCTGGGGGGAGGGGGGCGCGGACCCGTCCCTTGGCCCTCCCACCGCGCGCAGCGATGCGCGCAGCGGAGCGGCGGCCGCCCGCGCAAAGGGGCGCGCAAAGTGGGGAGCGCGCTGCGAGGGGGCGCGTCGCCGCATCTCCGCACGCTTTAAATGGAAATGTGCTTAAGAAAACATTACATTTTTTTTTCTTTTTAGTAAAGTGTATTTCATTTCATTTCATTTCATTTCATTTCATTTCATTTCATTTCATTTCATTTCATTTCATTTCATTTCATTTCATTTCATTCTAATTTCTTCCCCTCCACAGTCCCACACAGAACGCGGTCCGCTGCGCTCCGCGGGGCTCCGCGGCGGGGCGGGGCGGGGCGGGCGCGGGGGTTACCTGGGCGCCCCGCGGCGGCACCGCCCTCCGCGGCGCTAAGTGACGCGCACGGCGCCCAATCAGCGCGGCGCGGCGGCGGCGGCGCCCTATAAGCGGCGGCGGCGGCGCGGCGGGCGCGCGCTTATAGGGCCGGGGCGGCGGGGCCGGCCGCGCTGCTGCGCCGGGACTCGCCGCCTTCGCCGCTGCGGGAGCAGCAGCAGCACGGGCAGCAGCAGCGCGGGCTGGAGGCGCCGCCGCCGCGGGAGCAGCGCGGGTTGGAGGCGCCGTCGCGGGCACGGCCGCGCCCGGCACCGCTTCGTCCTGCGCCTGCCGCGCTCCTCCTCGCGCGGCACTGCGGAGCCCGCCGGCGGAACAGCGACCGGGCGAGCGAGCCGCGACGCCCCCTCGCCGCTCGCTTTGCTCTCCGTGTATTTTTAATTACTGTTTTCCGCCTCTTTCTCCCTGCGCCCACCCTCCCGCGGCGGCCGCGGCCCCGCGCGCCGCCCCTCGCAGTGGATTTATAGCGCGGCGGGTGCGCGCGGGCTGCGCGGAGCGGGGCGCAGGGGCCGGCGGCGCCGAGAGCCGCGCGGCAGGAGCCGCCCGGAGCGCACGGGTCCCGCTCTCGCAGCCCGTCGTCTCTCCCGCTTCCTTTGCATCTTGTTTGATTTTTATTTTCATTTTTTTAAAATCTATCGCTTTCCGTGCGGACCTTAGACACTGTGAACGTGTACGGCGCCCTGGATCCAAATGGGAGTTGTCGATTTGAGTGGCATCTTCAGCGGCAGCCGGGAGACTCCGAGTAGGAGGAAGGACTGAGGCATTCGCATTATTATTATTTTTTTTCTTGCTACTGTTGCTGTTACTTCGGAGGTAGCCGGGATCGTACCTTGCAGGAGCGTTTCCTACATGCGAACGGCATTCATGACTCAGTAGATCTGCCGAGTGCCATCGTCGACCCTTCGCGTGTGATTTTTTTTTTAACTATTATATTTATTTTTATCCCCTCTTGGTCGCTGGGGACAGCGGCCCCCCGCCCGTCCCTGCTGCTCAGGTGCACGGAGGAGTTGGCGAAGCTTTTGGGCAAGGGGACCCGGCGCCGCTTGCGACCATGGCAGCGCGGGGGCGAGACGCCGCCGCCGGGAAGTACTGCTGGGGAGTTTTCATGGTTCTATGCAGGACTGCAATGGCGCGATCCATAGTTTTAGACCCGATTTACTGGAATTCCTCCAACCCCAAGTAAGTTTGCAGCCCATTCCCTGCCCCCCGCTTTCCCGTCCCTCTTTCTCTTCCCGGCCCTCGCGGCGGTGCCGCAGCCGCGGCCCGGGAGCGCGGGCGGCCGCCACCGGCATCCGCGGGCCAGGCGGTACCGGCCCGGGCGGTACCGGACCCCGCCGGAGGCCGCAGGGCAGCGCAGCCAGGAGGGGGGGCGATGCCTCCAACTTCTCCTCCTCCGTCTGCAGATGCACATTCATCTTCCCCCTCGCCCCCCCTCTCTGTCTTGACTTGAGCGAAGTTACAGCTGCCTGTAGCAGGGCTAAATTTGGTGGTGGAGTTGATGGTGTCGAGGCACATGGCAGTGAGTAATGAACTAAGCATTACCCATCGCGGAGCCATTTAGTGTCATTCTTCATTAACAAATTCAGGGGGAAGGAGCCGTACGTGCCTGCACAGGGCTTTGCGCTCGAAGCGCGCCCTGCAAACAGAAGCGTGTCCTCCTAGAGCCTGCTTTATTTCAACGTATGTAAAAATATACCCTTTTTTTGGGGAAAGAGGGATTTTAAGGAAGTAGTTTTTTTTCTTCAGGAAGGTTGCTTAAGACACTGGTGGAAAAATAGTTCTGCTTTCTGATTTTTTTTGTCCCCTTTATTTTTGACATGAAAAGCAAAAGTTGACTTTAAGTTCATGCATTAAAAGTGTGGTAGTAATAAAAACATTTTATTGCAGCAAAACCTCACTTTTTTCCACCGTGGGAATATTAGTCTGTAATGAGTTTCGGAARTCTTGTGCTGGAAATAGTTAATATCATTTTTTTGGTCGTTCAGGTTACATGTTTTTAATGAGATGCTTTAAAGTAAACCACACACTTAAAGGATCACAGACATGAAATTTCAGCATATGCATTGTGACTTAATTGAATTTAGGATTTCCCATTAAATCAGTAAGTACATGCCGCCTTCTCCCAAGGGGCTCTTTAGAGGAAACATTAGGTGGCGATGAGACAAGAATGGGAGTATTTCCTGGATCAGGGGCTAATCCTGTGCCGGTGGCAGGGTCTCCAGTAATTTAGTGACGCTTTCCAAAGTTTGAGTTAGGACTAGCAGCTGGAGGGGGCAGAGTAATCCTGCCTCGCTTCCATCGTGGCCCTCCCATTGAGCAAAGCCTCATTGAGGATTTCTGACGGTATTATTTATAATAATGGAAATATGTGACTGGTTTTAAGCTTTTGCGAAAGAGCTAATAAGTTTTCTAACTCTCCATAAAAACGGAGAAACTAGAGACGGCAAGACCACGGGCCACTCATGTCACCCTGTTTATTCCTGCTGTTACATGATGAATGCGGGTGCTATATGTATGCCCCGCAGGTGGGAAGGCAACTGAAATAAAAGTTTAGCTGGCTCGGTGGCCTTGCACAGGTGTGGCCGCGGCGCCGCTGACGCCGTGCTCGGCCTAGCAAAGACGGGACGTGGTCTCAGGGCGCAGCAGAGGAGCGCGCAGCAGAGGAGCGAGGAGGTGCCCTTTATGGTGCCGCGGCGGCCTTAGCGGTGCCCTGTGCGCTCGCAGGAGGCCGGGGCCGCCAGCCTGGGCCCGCTGCCACGGGCGAGGAGGAGGCGCGAGGCATCCCGGCCGTGTGAGCAGCTCGCACCTACAGAGGTCACTCTTCCAATGCAGAAGAGCCCGGCCTTGCCTCCGCTTGCCTCCAGTCCCAGCGCGCCGCGCTCGCCTGGCTAGGCTAGGCTTGGCTTTTCTTGCCTTTCCTTGTGTTTATGGCTTCTATTGGCCACCGGGGAAAGGGGARCACCCGCCTGGCTCAGCTCGATTCCCGCTTCGCCCTGCCTGGGGACACGCTTGCTTTATCAAATGAAAGTTGTGTTTCCATTTGGCTAATTCTAAGCTATGTGATTACAAAAAAGGGGTTTGAATGTTGTTAATGGTAGATCTAATGATAATATCTAATTACTTTTTTCAACTTAAATGCATGCTTAAAAATAGGCTCTGCTGTTGATGTAATTGAGTTTTCTCGAGTGATTCATTGATGTTTAATCACCACAGCGAAGAAGTACACTATTAAAATTAGTCTTTTCAATTGCTGAGGCTAGTGATTTATAGGCCACTTGGAGGCCTGTAGTTTGAGGACGCTTACAAACATGTTACCAATATTGCTGTTGGTAAGACAGCTCCACTTCGATGAGCAGGATTTCTTACTAATTCTTGTCACAGTTGCTTGCCCGAAGGGTACTGGATAATTCCTCCTTGAACAAGATTGTCTTCACTCAGGATTCAAGCTGAGTGTTAGCTTGAGAAATATGCTGTTGAATGGATCTCAGTATAGGGTAATAAAGCAGCTCTTCTCTAGGTTCATAGTAATAACTATCTTTGGTTAATTTATTCATGGAAGCTATGCATTTAACTCTATTGAAAGTCTCGACACATAAATTTGCTGAACAGGTAGGCAATTAAATGCTGTGAGAAGTTATTAGTCAGGTTAACATAAAGTATGAAATAATAAATTTTAGGGTGAGGTGAACATATAAAGTGAATTGGTTTTGTACTGAAGTTTAGAGGTTGTAATTTTTAGCAGGTGGCTGGGACTGAGGGCATGCAGTAGCTATTTGAATACAAACCAAGTCCTCACCCCCACGCTGCCCTTTCCTCGAGATCCACTTTCATTGCATCGACCCAATTTGAAGATGTGCGTTTTAAGTGACATGCCTACAATAACCATACCTATGAAATATCAGTTTGGGAGGCTAAATACCTTTGTTGCTAATGATCCTGATAAACTTTGTAGACTTCATTTGAAGAGCATTCGATCTTAGATGTTGAAAACAACAGTGACGGTAGGCTTAACTGTTGCTGATGTTCTTTAATCAAGGGACTTTCTGCATGTGTTGTTTTTGCCAAGATAAACATATAGAGATAGCATGGATTACCTCAGTTTCACCTCAACTGCTCACCACCGCCTTTGAACTACGTGGTGGAATGTAGTCTTATGGAGTGTGTTTTAGTGCATTTATCAGAGAAACATCATACAAAAAGTGTTGCTATTCCCTGCTTGCTATAGGCTGGTCAGCAAAGCAGTTCTCCTTACAAACATGCAAGCATACCCTTATGAGTGGTGCATTTGACACTGATTGACTTAAGTATTTTTTCCTGTATCTCTAATAACCAATTATACAAGGGGTATTTCAYAGACAATCTCTAAATAAATGCTAAGGTGTCAGAGACTGGTAAAATAAACTGCGATTGATGACCCTGTTAAATGGTCTATTCAGTAGCATCTAGACTAGTCTGCTTCTCATTGTATCTGAAATTCTTATTTTTTGTAGGTAAACAAATGTGCATTCACAATCGATTGAATAGCCCCTTGAACTATGCTCTGCAGTTTGCATTTGGGTTAATCTTGTCGGTTTTAATATAGAGAGGAGAAAAGGAGAAAGCACCAGGGGTGGAATTGTTAGTGCTTTCACATCCACATTCCTCACTTTTTGTCAGGATGATAAACTGTAGGTAATGGACAGTCCTTGTTTCGCAGGACAACTGAGCCAACTGAAGCACAAAGAGCTCTCTAAAACGGTAGCTTACAACATGCTTGGTAGCCTCTTTCCAGACAAGAATTTATTTGGGAGTCCTGTGTCATGGGACTGCACTTCTTAACCTCAACAATTACAGCTTCAAGCTGAAGGAAGAGGAGTGGAAGGTTAAGATGATTTAAACACATGCTTCTAAATTGTACCTGAAACAGAGCTGCTGACACTTGGCATGCTAACACAAGAAGTGAGCAGTGAGCTTCCAGCCCATTTGATATCTCTGGCATTTGTAGCCAGGTATTAACACAAGTGAATTAGCAAAATGAATTCCAAACTGACTGAAAGGCTGAGTTTTTGACTTCGCCTTTTTTTTTCTCTCACTCCMATTTTCTATCCTGTAACTGCTATATTATTTATAGTAAAGGCTGTTATCTGTAAGCAGAGTTATTTCCCTTTGATAAACGAGGTAATTGACTTTTAGTCACTGTGTTTCTAAAGACAAGCTAAAATCAGAAGTTCTCCCCCTACATATGCTATCCCCCCTACAAGAATAACCCCCCTCCCCCAGTCCCTTTTTCTTTTCTTTTTTTTTTTATTCCAAGAAGATCACATTGCTTTAGGTGTGAAACTTAGGACTGTCTGATTTACTAAATGTTTCTATAATGGGAAATCAGCAGAGAACCTGAGGTGACTGCAGCGGCATGCTGGCAAAGATCGGGCCTTTCAGACCAGCACAGCAGCCACAAACRGGTTCTCTTAGGAATTGATCTTAATGTATCATGAAGCCTGCAATACCTGAAATTGCTTATTGCAAATGAGAAGAAAGTATTCTTCTCAGGAAAAAAAAAAATAGTGATTAAAATGTTATTCATGTGTGCCTAATGTCTGCCTGCCTTGACTGCTGACAGAAAGAAACCTGTTTTTCAGGTCATTTATCATACATCTACATAGATTTGCTTATGAGCTCAGTCTTTGTGAGGCATTGTGGAAGTTTAAACAGGAATGTTAAACTGCTCAAAGTATTTTGATTAAAATATGTAGTGCCATAGGATTATATGCCATAGAATAATAAACTTTTAACCAGTGCACAGGTCTGCTTAGCAATTTTTTTGTTGTGTGTATATTGAGGGGGGCTGTAGGGAGGGGGAGGAGAAGAGTTGAGGAGGGAGTTATATGAAAAGTGAAGGAAGGGAGGATGGCAAATGGACAGTGTTAGAGCAGCTTGGAGAAACTCCTGTGGCTTCATTGTCTCTCTAAAGCCCGAGAACACAAAGACATACGCGGTTCAGCCTTTCTCCCATGATGGAAAATGTAAACCGTTGACACAGCTCCCATGTTTAACTTGTTTAATTCTCATTTTAAATTCAGTACTATACCAGCCGTGTGAACTCTGAAGATTTCTTTAGTAATCCATTTTGTAGTTCCGAATCAAAAACAAAGTGAAAAGGTCTGACACAATTTGCTTTTATTTTTAGGCAAATCAACCCT